ACCCTGGAGAAGGGAACGGTTACCCACTCCAGTATTCTGGCCTGGAGAATTCCATGGATTGTATAGTCCATGGGGTCACAAAGAGTCAGGCACCACTGAGCGACTTTTACTTTTTTCCACAAAGTTTTATAACTTTTAGGGTTTCCTCTCTTTCGCGTGCAACAGTTCCACCTCATTGTTTGCAAGAGGTTTGTCTTTACTTCTCTGTTCAGAACTCTTGTTTAGTACTTCTTGAGTGAGGATTTCTTAGCTCTTGAAAGTCCCAAAGCTTTGCTTTGAATGTTGCTTCTCCAGTATTCTTGGTCTTTTTTTATCCTGGAAACTTACCTACTCATTCTACCTTTTGTGTATCTTAACCAGTCTTCTATATTTTCTAACCTTTATTTCTAGATTCTTGTCTGGTTTCCTTTTCTTGTCTTTGATTATGTCTACTTTTCTATTTAATCCCTCTTAAATTTTTTTCTCCCTTTAATTTTAATGGTTTTGTTTTTTGTTTTTAATGGTTTTGTTAATGGTTTTGTTTTAATGGTTTTTAACTGTTTTAATGGTTATGTTTTTTGCTCTTATAGAGTCTAGTTTGTTCTGTTTAAGAACAAATACCAGGGGTATGTGTGTGTGTCTGTGAGTGAGATGTTTGTCACTTTTTTCATGACCTTAGTCATTTTACCTGTAGATTTAAAAAAATCTCCTTTATAGGTTCCTCTTATCTGGGATTCATTGTTCTGTGGGTTCTGATTCTCAGTGCGTTGATCAAGTATTGTACACACATGATTCTTGGAGTTCCTTCACGTGGAGTTATTTTCTAGAGAGAGATTGATCTCCGTGTGTTTCGCGTTGTAGAAGTGCTTTTTGAAATAGTTGGTGATTGCTTTATCCAGGTGTCCATTGCCAGTGCAATTTAAGTTTTATACTTATCCCTCACCAGGATCCCCAACATGGAATCTCCTGGGGATTTTCTCTCCTGCCCCAGTGTAGGGTACAGGGATTGGGTTTTCATTTCTCTTGACACCACCCCAGCCTTCTCCTCAGACAAGACTACCTTTTGCCTCTGTGGGCAGGTAGGTAGAAGTTTTCTCCTCCAGCAGGACTGATGGTACAGCTTTTCCAGACTCCTAGCTTTACACTGGAGTTTGAATTTCGTTCTCCACATTTTATGTGCTGAAGGCCATGTTTCATATGCCATTGTGAACATTAAAGCCTCAACTTGTAGAGTCTGTATCTGGCCTAGGATCTGATTTTCCAGAGTTCCCACGATACAGTCTCTAATTCATAATTTTGCCTTAATTTCTCGCTCTTGGAGTTACTGTTTTTATTCCTTCTATTTTCAGCTGTGTTTTAAAATGTGGATATTATATTTTATCTCACAATTCTGTGTTCATAATTTTGGTTGTGGTTGAGGAAAGATACTTATTTTAGCATTATCTTAAATAGATGTTTGTATTTAAGACCAAATATTCATTTGGTATATATTAATATTGGAGCCATTTACTTAATGCATTCTGTCATTATTTACAAGAGTCTTTTTTGTTTGTTTTCTTGGAATTTCCAGGTATAGAATAATGTCCTCCAGAAAAACTGAAACTTTTACCTTCATAAGTTATGCTTGAACTTTCTATATCTCCCTTTATTTTGTTAATTGCTCTAGTTAATTCATCCAGTGAGCATTTCTGTCTTGTTCCTTACTTATATTTGAATTTGGTATTTCTAAAAAGGATTTTTTTCAAATGTTCTAAAGCAGTTAGCTTATCATAACATGATACAAATATCTAAGTTTGTATATTCACTTAATAAGAAATTATAGTGTAATTATTATATATAATGTCACCAAAATATCATTTTAGGAGTGAATTACAAAAGTAATGCAAAAAATAAATACACAAATGAAAGATTTTTTTAATTAGCTTATTGTTTTAAATCAAGATTTTCATTCTTCCAGATTGTCTCTCATGGTATCCTCACTCTTTTGCTGTATTTGCCTAAGTGTTCCAGTGACTGAGTAGTCATTATTAGCAGACTGTTGTAATAGCCACAAGTAGCACCCTGCCTCCACCCCACCATGTAAGGAAAGATGGAACTTACAAAGGAACATTTACATGTGAGAGAGATGAAATGAAATCTGTTCGTTTCACCTCAGTTTTTTTTTTCTGTTTCACCTCTATTTTTAACTGCTCATTTCTACAGTAATGTTCTGCTGCTTTGTGCCATCTATAGTGTTGTATTGGAGAAGGAAATGGCAACCCACTCCAGTATTCTTGCCTGGAAAATATCATGGATGGAGGAGCCTGGCAGGCCGCAGTCCATGGGGTCTCAAAGAGTCAGACACAACTGAGCGACTTCACTTTCTTTCATAGTATTGTATGTGAGTAGTTAGTATTGTGTTGTGGTTATTGTCTTCATGAAACCAGACAGAAAAACTCTCACCAAGCAGATAATGTGCATATTTTGCTGAATTCTGTACCATGTTGGTAAAACACTGGTGCCACAAAGCTTTGCCCTTTGTGACTAGATTTGATGTTTCTGTAGTTTAGAAGTTAAATTTCATTTCTTGCTTCCCGTACAATTTAGTTATCTTGTTCTGCTTATGGGCTGAGATACTTGTTACTATTGTGCATGTTGTGTTTTGTATGTGTTTAAATAATTCCAGTCAGCCTCTGCCCAGATACATGAACTCAAATTTCAATGCTGAAACTTTGTAGTGGAAAGTCACAAAATTAAGAGAAATCTTGTTACTTACATCTGGTAAATTCTACTAGTTTGTTTATGGTAATCTTTTTTCCATGTGTTTAGCCTTAAAGAGAGATGATTCTATGTTTTGTTTCACTTGTACCCCTATATAAGACTTAGGGGTCGGGCACCTGTATTGGATATTGGTTAAGAGTACAGGCTTTGGAATCAGATAGACCTGAGGTTGAATCTTAATTCTTTTGTTTAATAATCTATATTTGCCTTTACAATAAATTTTTAAAAGTTATTTTTAAGTTATTTTCTTCCTCTGTGAGGTGACTATGATATACCTACCTCACAGGGTGTTTGTGAGTATTAAATAGGCTGGTGAAGCACTTTGTTTAGCGCCTGACACATGGAAAGTGCTAAAGAATTGGTAGCTGTATTTGTTGCAGTTTATTTAATTCAAAGGTAGTAAACAAATTTACTCCTTAGTGACTTGGCCAGCTTTATAATCTAGGAAAGGCTTAGAGATTAGCTTTAGGAAAACTATCTAGATGCGTTTCATACTCGATAATTGGGGAGTAGTTATCTTTTGAAAATAATCCTCCTAATTTTTATAGTATGTACTAACCTACAGTTAAATGTATAATATACAGAGTTAGAATAAAACGCAACATTCTGGAACAGTTTTTTGTTTTTTTTTTAAATTCAGCCTATATCTTAATAGCTTGGTTTCCTTATAAATATATTTTTAAGAGTTTTAGATGTTAAGACATATTTGGAAAGTCTTGACCAGTTTTAATGTCAGTCCAGTAGACATTGTGTTAACAGCAGAAAGAGTTAAGTTGAAAGCGTGGAGACTTGGGTTTGCGGCCTGATTTCGCTATTGGCTACATACATTTGTCCTTGGTCAGATAAAAAAAACCCCTATGTCTAAATTTTGATCTCTCCTGTGGTGCTTGTGACCTGACCTACCTCACCTAGTTGCTCAGAAAATCAGATGACATAATTGTGTCAGGACTATATAGAAAATTACAGAGGGCTATCTAGAGTGAAGATAAGTATTATCTTAGTTCTCACCTTATTTTTGTGTACCTACATCTTTTCAAAGAACAGTGTTGATGTTTTATGAATTCTTAGTATTTGAAATTCATACTCCTGCTTAATGAATCATATTTTTGTGACCAGAGGCGTTTTGGTAACTTTTTTCTTGAACTGTGAGATGGCCTGTTATCCTGAAGGTGAAGAAGGTTTTTAATCATTCCCCAAATAGCCAAAAGATCCTTTCTGGATAAACTTTTTCCCCCCCCCAAAAGTGTAACTGTAGCTCTTGAAACGATTTTCAGTCTGCTCAGAACTGATCACCTCCATTAAGCCTTTGATGAACTCTACCTGGTTTTACTTAATTTGGATTCCATCTGCATTTATGCACGTAGTTTGCAGTACATTGGTTTATATTTGAGTGTTTCTGTGAGTCATTTTGTGTCTTCCCCATGTGATCTGGTCTTGCTTCCTCAGCTAGCCTGGAGTCTCCTCAAGGGTGAAGACAGTTGTCCTTCCCCTTTGTTCACCGTAGTTTCATGATAGAGGATGCTCTGCATACATTGCTTTCTTACTTGTTGTGTTTAGGTAAAACTTGCAAGAACAGAGTAATACCAGTTGGCCTAAGTATGCATCTGCAGAAATTTTGTCTACTATAGTGTACGCTTATTTAAAGACAAAAGGCATCAAAACAATATACTTCTTTATTTTAAAAAATACAGTATTTAAGCTGCTGTGTATTTCAACTAGGACTAAGTTTTCTTTTGCTTTTTCAAGCCATTCTGTTAAATGTATTTGGCCCAAAGAAATCTAATAAATCTCATTAAGTAGCTTGATTTTTTTGATACTAAATCATTTTTTAGGAAATGTGGTGATTGTATTGTTAATAACCACAGTTGTAAATGCTTCTTTACAAGAAAAAGAATTTTGCCTTCTATAAAAGACTTTCATAAAAGGCATAATTTTATAGTCACAGTTATTTATAATTTTTCAATTAAATTCATTTATTAAGTTAATAATTTTTATTGTTTCTCATGTAAACCTTGATGTGGAGGAGACTTATTCTTACAGTAAATTTCCTAATTTATTTGGAATTGACTGTTTTTGAAAAAAAGAAATTCTTTACATTTGCTTTAATCAGAGCTTTCTCTAGGACACGATAAAATTTTTTTCTTTGCACTTAAAGAATTTTGCTAAAAATATTTTCTTCCAAACAAGTATTTTGCAAACAAGTATCTTAGTTCTCAGATTCTTTTCTCTAAACCCAGTGTTTGCTCTCCCACCTACTTCAGGAATGTCGCTGTCTGCGGGATCCTCCCCTCTTCACTCCCCCAAGATCACTCCACATACTTCTCCCGCCCCCAGAAGAAGAAGCCACACTCCAAGTCCAGCAAATTACATGGTGCCTTCTAGTGCCTCTACGCCCGGGAATAATCCTGTTTCTCAGACACCGTCTTCTGGTCAAGTGATCCAAAAGGAAACCGTCGGTGGAACGACGTACTTCTATACAGACACAACTCCAGCACCTTTGAGTGGAATGGTATGTCTGCTTTAAACAAGGGAGAAAAGAGAGGGCCCTTATAGCAGCTTCTTATTGATGAGAGAGATGAGGTTACCCCCTCTTGTATCTTTTTACTGTGATGTGGAAAGGTAACTCATTTCTAACTCAGATGATAATTCTAATCTCTTCTTACTTCTTCAAAGTAATCTGTTTCTACAGTAATAAAAACTCTTGGGTTGCCATTCCCTTCTCCAGGGGATCTTCCTGACCCAGGTATTGAACCCAGGTCTCCTGCGTTGTAGGCAGATTCTTTACCATCTAAGCCCCAGGGAATGCCAATAATAACTCTAGTTTTGGACAGATCTGGTTGTATTTAGATTATATTCACACTCTTAATACTTTATAGCACGTCTTGCTTTAGGGGTCCCCTAGTACTTGTGCCAGCTGGGATTGCCATTTGCTGACCCTTGTTTATAAGTGTAGGTAGACTCACCTCTGGTGAGAAGTTGTCAATCGTTTCTTAACAGTAGTGACTGAAAGCAAACTGATGGTCAGTACTTGCCAGGTGAGGCAGTGATTTAACAACTGGAACTCAGGGTGATGGAGCAGATGGTAATAGGAGGGCTGTAATGTGGGTCACTGGTCAGGAAGGAGGAGTTCAGGGAGCCCTGCTGAGAGGTAGGGAAGGGGCCACCAAAGGACTGCAGGGAGAAGAGGGGGGGGGCAGAGAGGGACGGTCATGTTCCCTAAGGTGTACCTTTTCAGATTTGTAGTTTTGTCCATGTTCAGAAATTATTTACCTGTAGAAAAGTAGTAGAAGGTGAAGCTCTCATGAGTAAGAATGCCAGATTCCATTAAAATATGAAAGCTGGTCTACACTGTAACTGGACAGAATCATAGCTGATAGACTTACATGAAAAGTGTCTTTGGATTTTAGTAAGCAATCAGATTTTGATCCCGTAAATTAATGATTTATTTTGGTTGATTACATTTCATATTTTACTGAAAGACAGTTTGAGTGGAAAGAGAACAGATTTTTATTTTTCCTCTTTTAAGAGTCCTAGTTCTGCCTTCGTGTTGTGACTCTTGAATCTTAGTGTCTCTGAGACTGATCCCCCAACTGTAAGTGACCACCGTCTGAGAAATAAATGTGAAAACATTTATGGAAATACTTGTGAATCATGTGAAATGCTTTCTAAAAAGTAATTAAGTAGCTAATAGTTTTTTGTTCTGTTTTTGTCTTTGGTCAGAGATCTTTCAAAAATTATCACAGAACAGCTTGCCGAGCAGAAGGTCAAATAATTGAGGTAGAGTAGAGACTTTCTTGGTTCTTTCAAGTAAGAATTCCTTCAATGTTTTGCTTTTGGGGAGGGGGTTATTATATTTCGTAATTACTTACATTTTTATTTTATCACATTTGTAGAAAAAAGTTCAGTTTAACCTATAAAGAGATTGTTGTATCACAAAACTGTCTCAGCTGTTTCTGTGGATGTTATACATGGCACATTTTCACAATGTTTTTACCCTTCAAACAGCTCTTAAAAGTACACTCCTGGTAAACCTGAGGTAGTTCAGCCCAACTGTACTACCTGATGTAAGGAAACCACGGCCAGGGAAAGGAGGCACTGTTCTCCTCGCAGGTGTAGTTAAAGGAAACCTTTCAAGTATTGCAAAACCATTTCCTGCTTGAGATCCAAAGCAGAACAGTCATCTGAGGGCAGCGGAAATCAGCTGAATTCATTTTTAAAAGAGAAAAAAAGGGTTTGTTGCAGCTTCAAATATGAAGGGATAAAATAGAAGATATTTTAGGGTGTACTTTGATTTTGTGCTGTGGACCAGTGGAGGGAAGGAGAGGCAGAGGAAGATGGGAAGAAAGCAGGGTGGTGGGAAAAGCCCAGTTGGAAGGATCAAAGGCACGAGGCTGGCAGCAGAGTTTAGTGGCTTTGTTGTAGTTTGATTGCAAGGTATATACTCTGTCACATCCTTCTGTTCACCTCCACTGCTGACCCAGAGGATGCTGGTCCTCTTTCCTGTTCTAGTCTGAGGTGTTAACAGGCATCTAGATAACTCTTTGTTCAGTTTGGCTGCAGGAGACCCTTCCAGAGGGCAGTTCTTTGGGCAGCCAGGGCAGAGTTACTCCATGCTCTGACTTTTCCCAAGCACTTTTAGTATCTACTTTCTTCCTCTCTTCCAATTGCCTTTAAAATATACTTCCAGAAAACTACTTGTGCCTCTCATTGGAAGTAAAATCTTACCATATCTGAAGAAATGACTCCTTTGTTATTAGAGTTTAAAAAATTGATTATTCCAATAAAGATTTTAAAAATGAATTCATTTAGAAAGTGTGCTGATAACAGCTATTCTCTGAGGCCTTTAATTCACTGTCATATAAAGATTAAAACTATCAATTTATCACTGTCATTTAAAGATTTGAACTTTATCACAGTAATGATAAAGCTTATCAGTTGAGAAAAATTGATCATTCTATTTTCCCCTTCTCTGTCTTTTAGGTATTTCCCAATTACCACATCTATCCTCCAACTGCACCTCACGTTGCTTATATGCAGCCGAAAGCGAACGCACCTTCCTTCTTCATGGCTGATGAACTGCGACAGGTACGCTTTCAGGGTTCAGAGTAGAAACAGTTGATGTCTGTCATTCTTTAGCAAAGAACTGGAGAAACAACAGAGCTCCTTTCAAATTATATTATTTAATTAGATATGCTGTACTGAAGCAGATAGAATTGATGAGTTCTAATTGATATATTTATTTAAGGAAACGTGTTTTTCAAGACAATTGCAGGTAATACAAAACATAGAATAGCTATTTAAATGGACCACCATTTTGCACCTCACGTCCTGTGCATTGAAAAGCCTCTGAAGTATATAAAATAATTTAAATGGTTTCTGATCTCTAAACAAATTTTTGCTAATATCTGTAGTTGTTAGCTAATAAGTAATTTGGCCTAGAAACGAACCTTATTTTAAGAAAGCTCAAAATTTTCTACAAAGTAGGTTTTATAAAATAATTTAATTTTTTTGTTGTTAAACAGGTATTACTTGATATGTAGGATTTTATTTTACTCTTAGATCCTCAGAAATGGTTTTATTTCACAGAAGTAAGTTGCACCCCCAGAATATTGTTTGTGGAGTGAATTATTGACCACAGAGCTAACTGTAGGCTCTGAGTTGTAACACTGCTACTTGAAACCAACTAGAGTTATGGGCAGGTCTAGCTGGGACTGGAATTTAGACATTTTACCAGTATTGGAAATGTCATTTCATGATATCAGTATGATATCAGCATGAAAAGTGCACATGCCAAAACTATTAATGGTTATGCTATTCAGTTACAATAAAAAGTCCATATTTCAGAAGCTGTCTTTAGATATAAATAAACTTATTTTCTCTTCTTAGGAGCTGATAAACAGACATTTAATAACAATGGCTCAAATTGATCAAGCGGATATGCCAGGTAAAATGCAAGTTGATTGATCCTTCCTTTTAAAGGAGAGTATAATCCTTACATAGTTCCATGGTTTTTATGCCTTATGCCAGCTAATTACTGTTTAATGAATATATTTGTTTGAAATCTAGTTAAGAATTCCAAGATGCCGTTGGTCATCTAGTGTTTTTCAAATAATTCTACATGTGACAAGATTCTAGTTTATCCAAAAAATAGGCAGTTTTAGAATTTCCACTGTGATTTATCTCACTGTGCATTAGAATGTTACGATCTTTTGAAACCTGACAAAGTATAGGTACTTAAGTAGGAGTGGGAGGTGATTGTTGCTGTTATTATTATTAACATTGAGACTGTGGCATGCCTGTATACTAAGGCTTTCTGTGTGTAAGTTTTTTCTTTGCAAAGCTCCTGTGGTGTACCTGCTAATATTATCACCTCTGTTTCACTTGTGAGGAAACTGAAGGTAACAGGCAGGTTAAGTAACTTGCCTCTAAGACCAGTGGCTAGTAATTGTCTGACCAAATCAGGGTTTAAACCTATATTTTTTTGGCTGAATTGTAGTGTTTCTCAGAGTGCATTAAAATCTCTTTCCTTAGCTTATTCTGTAAAGGCAAGATTAAATGTGGTTTTATTTAGCAAAACTTTATAAATAATACAGCAGGAATACATTTACTGTAGCAGTAATCTCAAAATACCTGGTTGTAATCAAGGACTCAGCACAGTCAAGTGTGTATCTTCTTGACTCCTAAAGAATTCAAAGGAGTATGTCTGGCTATTATGTTTCAAGACTGATCTTTTCTACTTTAGTTGGTCAGGAAACTTTTCTGTCATGGCCTTTGAAATGTTCATGTTAGAATTTTCCTTAATATCAAGCACTGTCTTTGAGGCCCTAGCCAGGGCAAAAAATAAAAAATAAATAAAATGAAGTTGCTATTTACAGTAGTTTCAGAGTATCAGTACCTAGAAATAAATACAAGATACGTAACATCTCAATGAGGGAGATTTACTAAGAAATGTTAAATAGGGTAAATATATAGAGTGAAATACTATATTTATGAATAGGAAGACATAATGATTATCAATTTTTGTAAACTAATATATAGATTTAGTACAATTTTAGTCAAAGCACATGAGTTAATTTTACTCACAGTACTAACACCTGCTTCATGTCTAACAGTTTAATTGTTAAGGAAGGGTTCGATCCCGTAAGACCACTCCTGCATCAGATGTCAGCTGAAATGGGGTACCTAGGCTACTCAGACTTCTGTCTGGGCAACTACAAATTTGGGGGTTTCTGCTGGATGCCCTCAGGTTTGGGAATAAGCTGGGATGACTCACAGAACTCAGGAAGACACTGTATGAACTATTCCTGGCTTACTATAAAGGGTGCAACTCAGGGAACAGCCACATGCAAGAGACGTGTCGGGCAGGGGGTGGGGGTGGGGGACGTCCTTGCCCTCCCCAGTGTGCCACCCTCTCCGTGCCACGTCAGGCCCACCAGCTGTGTGTGAGCTCTCTGAATCCCGCTGCTGAGGAGTCTTTATGGATGTTTTGTTGTCAAGGCATGTTGGTTACATCTCTGGCTCTTGGCAGTTAACTCAGTCTTCAGCTTCTCTCTCCTCCCTGGAAGGTTGGGAGATTGCCTGAAAGTCTGGTGGCTCAGAGGGTAAAGCGTCTGCCTACAGTGTGGGAGACCGGAGTTCAATTCCTGGGTCGGGAAGATCCCCTGGAGAAGGAAGTGGCAACCCACTCCAGTACTCTTGCCTGGAAAATCCCATGGACAGAGAAGCCTGGTAGGCTACAGTCTATGGAGTCGCAAAGAGTCTGACATGACTGAGTGACTCCACTTTCACTTTCTACTTCTAATCAAGGTTTGGTCTTTGTTTCTTTATTTTTTTTTAAATTATATTGCACATAACAGAGCTTTTCATAGTATATGATAGAATTTATCAGAAAGTGAAGGTCGAAGACTCCCTGCAACACTCTGAAGATTGTGGTTAGGGTTCTGGTGTGTGGGGAGGGCAGGCTTGGCTTGAGTCTGTAGTCCCTGCAGTGGTGCGGTAATGGCACTGGGCTGGACGTCCTGACTGCTGGAGCAGGCTAGGGAGAGGTGACACAGTGGCTCATCGGTGGGGACAGGAAAGCGCGGGGAAGATGGTTTTCTTCATGGTAGAAGGTTGCATTCTTACAGTTGTATCATCTCAAACCACATGCAAAAACTGCAAAAACAGATAGATTAAGAATTTAGATGTCTAAAACAAACTGTGTAATATCTCTAAATGATAATACAAAGCTTTAAAACTCATAAATTTAATGTTTCAATAGGGAAAGATTTCCTATACTGGAGGCAAAGTTTGTTGACTCTTCAAATACTGATAAACTTTATCGAATTAAAGTTAAAAACAACCCAAAGATATCTATAGTAGAGAAAAAGCTTAGATGTTTACATGTTTGACAAAGAAAAGAAAATTAAAGCCACAGATTAGTAAGACCTTAAAAACAAAACTGAGAAGTGGCCAAAAATAGGAATAGGCATTTCAAGAAAGTGGAAATTTATACAGCCAAAAATTATGAAGAAATGTTGAACATCATTGATGATTAGGAAAAGACAAATAAGATACCATTGGAAAGTTTAATATTTATAAGTGATAATCCAAATTGTTTCTAAGAGCTGAGAAACAAGAGTTGTGCTGTTACCAAACATAAATATTTTTGAGTTCATGAAGTCTAGTTCTTTTGTTGTGTTATAATGTCTGTTTTTATTGATTGTGAGACTGGTGTGCCCTATAGAATGGACACACTATGAATGTTGACACTCTTCTAGAATACAGAGTATTTGATATCAGTCATTTGTGGATTTGGTTTCTTCTTTATTTCTTTGAGATCTGAGCGATTTATGAATGTCTGCAAGCTAAAGTCATCTTCTTATGAATTACTCTAGCAGTCCCTTCAGAAGTTGACAGCTACCATAGCCTGTTCCCTCTAGAACCACTGCCACCACCCAACCGGATACAGAAATCAAGTAATTTTGGATATATTACATCCTGCTACAAAGCTGTAAATAGCAAAGATGATCTGCCTTATTGCCTTCGGAGGATACATGGTAAGGAACATAATTTATCCTCTTTTAGGAGCATATTATTGAGGCTGAGATTATTCAGATATTCCTGAATGAGTTTATTTAATTAACATGAATTTAAAGGATTAAAAAATACATTTATTGTTTCATTTGGAAAATTAGTATCTCATTAAGGGATATATTGGGCTTCCCAGGTGGCTCCGTGGTAAAGAATCTGCCTGTCAGTGCAGGAGACTTGGGTTTGATCCTTGGGTTGGAAAGATCCTCTGGAGAAGGAAATGGCAACCCACTCCAGCAGTCTTGCTGGGAGAATCCAGTGGACAGAGAAACCTGATTGGCTGTAGTCCATGGGGTCCCAAAAGAGCTGGACACGACTTAGCAACTAAACAACAACAAGGGATGTATAATATGGCTCTTTTGGCACGTTTCTGGGGAAGTAAGGGGGAGATGTCATTTCCGGTTAAGCAGAAAATGTTCTCTTTTTCAGGTTTTCGTCTTGTTAACACAAAGTGCATGGTATTGGTCGATATGTGGAAAAAAATTCAGCACTCAAATATTGTAACCTTGCGTGAAGTATTTACCACTAAAGCTTTCTCAGAGCCTTGTGAGTGACTTGTTATTGTCTCTCTGCTGGTGGGCTTCATTGTTGGAAGCCAGGTTGCAATAATGAGCGTTTGTGTTTCATTTCAAGCTCTTGTGTTTGCATATGATTTCCATGCTGGAGGAGAGACCATGATGAGCAGACACTTCAATGACCCCAATGCGGATGCCTATTTCACAAAGAGAAAGTGGGGTAAGGCGATGATGCAAGAAAGCTGGGTTTGACAGAGCCTTTGCTCTGTGAAAGAGTAGTTCTGTGTTTTAAAGTACTTGTAAGTTTAGCCCTATTCAGTTTAAAGACCATACTGCATTTTAAAAGAAATACTTTAAAGAAATGAAGTCAATATGTAACAAGTTAGGAAATAACATATTATCTGTAGATGGAGATGAAGATGGGTTATGAAAGACTCATGTAAATATCTGAAATTTAAGTAGCTGAGAATATAATAAAGGTTTTTTTCCTCTTGTTTTTTCTTTAAAAAATGTTATGCTTTCTGAGTAAAATGGTTTGGGAAATTCATTAAGTTGAAAAATAATTTCTGTAACTTCACCACCCAAAGCATCATCATTATGAGTCTCTTGACATTTCTTTCTTGTTTTGGTTTGTTTTGTCTCTTTTGCATAGTCCAGTGTGACTCTCTGTTATTTATATAATTGTTTCCCTGAACAAATATTTTGCTTTAAGGTAAGATTCTGTGTTAACTACAGGAACTAGTCTTCAAAAAATTTTCAGGTAACTTTTACTTAAATGGGGAATATTTTCTTCATCTAGTATTTAAAGAATTGTTGTATTGTTTATATATTGCAAAGAACTAAAATGTCATTACATTCTAACAAATGCTTATTGAAGGGTAAATCATTTCAGAGTTAATTCATTTTGCAATGTCTATTAATTAGTTTGTTTGGGGGAAGGAAAATGTATGTATCATTTTTTGTTTGGGGGCAGAAAAGTGTTACCCTTTATGTTGAGGTTATTAATTTGCTAAAGATTTTCCTGAGTGTATCCTGAGAGGAAGCAAGGAGAGAGAAGCCTGGAGTCTGCCTGGCATCACAGATAAAATATATTATTTCTGTTTGCTCCTAACTTTGCTTTCTGACAGTTGAAAGAAGCAAGCTGTGGTTACATGGCTGTTTCGCATTAAAAATCTGGTCTCAGAGTGTGGTCATTTTTTTCCTTTTGCCATGTCATCAGTAGCACACACATGATTTTGTTGAAAGGGATGTGGTATAACTTTTCTTATAGAGAAATATAGCTGTAGTTGTTCGTTTATTTTAGTAACAGCAGCTGTGAAATGACTGTTGGCTTTAATTTATAGCTGGGTTTCTCAGCCTCAGCACTGTTGACATTTGGGGCTGAATTAATTATTTTTGTAGGACCATTCTCTGCCTTGCTGGGTGTTTAGCAACATCCCCACTGTGTACCCACTAGATAACCAGTAGCAACCCCCTCCTCCTGTTGTGACACCAAAAATATCTTGAGACACTGTCAGATGTCCCTGAGGTGGCAAAGTTGACCACTGTTGAGAACCACTGATTTATAGCACTCCTTTTTAGGTTTTGTTTTGTTTTTATCTTAATTCTGCTTTTGGTGTTTGATTATTTGGTATGTTTACATTTTCTTAGGAATCAGTTCATTTTCTAGTGTTTGAAAGTATTTTTTGGTGGTATTAACTCCTCTAAATGTACCATATATACTTTAATTTATAGCAATTTATAATCTCTGTTTTCCCAGTATGAATGTTGAAAATGAAGGAAAAAAGAGCCAATGTTTACATAAACTTGTAGAGACATAGATGGAAGTATAATGCTTTCTTATACTATTTAATTTGTTAATTTAAAACAAAAAATGGCAGGTTGGAAGAGATGTTAATAAGAGAGTGGTAATAATAATAGCATACCTTATAGAGATTGTGGTAAAAGGTTTAAAATGACATAATGTGGGTAAAGTAACTAGACAGAATCTGGCACAAAGTATGCAATGTATTTGCTATAAATATTTTTTTCCCTATTACCACACTTATTAAATAGCTTTATTTGACCGCTTCCTGGTTGTCATATATGTCTACTTTTTGAGTCATTTAACATGGTGTTCCAGATGGTATTATCTTCAGTTCTGTCTAAATTTGAGGGATAGCAGTTTTTGAATTTTGTATTTGTTCTTCCTTGGAAATTTTGTCTCAAGCCATAAGTACTTACTAGCTGTTTATTAGCTCCACAGTTAACCATTTAACTGTGTTGCTTTTGTAACTGTTTCAGTAAAGGTTTGTTTACAACCATTTGAACACTTGGATTTATAAGGTCATGTTTCCTGAAATAATTACAAAATCTAATTAAATTTATGAGGTCCCTTTTCTCTTGGTTAACAGTGACCCAGAAAATTATATCAAGAAGCACTTACAAGGTTGATAGAATCAAAAGGATTACTTTTCATGGTAGACTGGATTATTTTTATGTTTCAACATTACTACGCATAAGTGGCATAAGTGACGTTCAGTGTTTTACATTTATGTTTTCTGTTAATTGGACGTGGTTGTAATAGAAGAGGCTGGGCAGCATAAAGACAATAAGAAAACACTCCACAGAGATGTTGGTGGAGACTTTGTTTCCCTCAAGCCATGGAAAGAATAGTTCCCACACACCTGAGCAGTAATAGAGACAAGGTTTAACCACTGTTTAAGAAAAATAATCCCTTCAGTTCCTGTTTTTAATCAGAACTTGGTTCACAATTAAGTAGAAGTTCTTACTTTAATAATTTTTGTTTGCTGTGCAATAATTATAGTGGTCACAGAAAAGAGAAGCTCAGTGAGAGCTCTGCTACTGCTGGCAGTATAATACTGAGGTGTAATATCGTACGTAGGAAAATTTGGGTTTGTTTCTTGAGTTCTTTTTGATCTGCATGTTTTAGTCTTTTAGTTAGTTACATGAAGGTGCAATTTTTTTTTTTTATTTATGTTTATAGGTCAACATGATGGACCGTTGCCCAGACAGCATGCTGGATTGTTGCCAGAATCTCTTATTTGGGCATATATTGTCCAGCTGAGTTCTGCACTGCGTACCATTCATACCGCAGGTTTGGCATGTCGTGTTATGGACCCAACAAAGATTCTGATAACTGGCAAAACAAGGTACTGGCATTTTGAACTCTGGCTTCTTTATCGATCATCTAACCTATGACAGCTTAGTAAACATAGCATGAGGATTTGTTTTAATCCTACCTTTTCATATATTCCATCCAGAAGAACTGCTGTGACTTTGAGTTCATTTGTAAGTTTTTTTTTTTTTTTTACATGCTGAGTTTGTAATAAAATGCCTTGTTATTAACCAAGATCTTATAGGAGTTTGGGAGGTATGTATGGTTAGGGTTGGGGGTATATCAACCAGTGTCAGTACAAGTTTCGTATGTACAACTATCAGTCTCAGATTTTGACATGAGTCCCCATGATCTGGAGAAGCTTAGTCAGCACAGCCTGTTGGGCTACACCCCCAGAGCTCCCATTCATGGAGTCTGGGGCGAGGCCTAGGAGTTTGCATTCCTAACAAGGGGCGATTGATGCTGTTTCTGCTGATTGGGTTTCATGCTTTGAGAACAAGTGATCTTACAGATACCTTGACTTCACCAGCGTTTGATTTGAGTTGCTGAAATTTTGAGAATTGTCTTGGACAGCATAGCATGAGGAGCTCAAGGTTTTAGTACCAGGTTACCTGGATTCATGTCCTGGCTCTGCTAGTTACTTAACTAACCGCAAGTTACATGTGTGTTCAGCAGTCTGTGAGACAGGTGCTGTTGTTATCTCCATTTTCCATATTTGTAAGGTACCTGCCTCATAAGATTATTCAGAGGACCAAATGAATTAATACATGTAAAATGCTTTGAATGTCCCTAGCACATCTTCATCACCTGTTGAGAAGCTAACTGGTTCTCTTTTCAGGCGTAACTAGTAAAGAAGCATCTAGGTTTGGGGAAAAGAAGCAGTGATCTGATAGCCAAACAGCACAAGTTGCAGTCTTGGCGTTATCCATTCCCAGCTTTCACAACCAGAGGCCTGTCACTTGAAGTCTGTGACGTTATCTCTGACGTGGTGACTGGCAGGGGTTACATGGGGGTAAGGCAGGCGGAAGGCCTGGCCAGGATGCTGAGATCCCTCCCAGTATCATCAGAAATGTTCAGTTTCCACTAGGATGTAAGTTTTCAAAAGTCTCATTTTAATTATTCTCTCTAAATTTTCTGATCTTTAAAGGTTGCGAGTAAATTGTGTTGGAGTTTTTGATGTTTTAACATTTGATAACAGTCAGAATAATAATCCATTGGCATTAATGGCTCAATACCAGGTGAGTAAGAATTAACATGGATATTTACTTAATAACTTAAGGCTTGAATTTTTTTTTCAAGATAATTTTTTTTTTTAAATTTTAAAAGCATTTCAGAATTTTAAATGTAGATCTCAGTTTATTCTGGGGGTGGTCTCTATGCAGACTTGGAATGTGCATTTCTTAACCACTATGGTGTGTTCAGTGTAGCGCCCTTAGAAGTTGTAATATACAGAATTAGTGGCAGTGTCAAGAGACTAGTAGTTCAAATGAAAATGCATTTATATGACTAGGAAATTAATCCTCAGCATAGATTAGAACATTAATTAGCTGAATGAAATACAGTAAATGACATTTTACTTAGTTTTTACTTTTTAGTATGTTAAAATCACACCTGTTGTTTTTACTTTTATGGTTGTCCCACTGTCAATCCAAAACTTTTATTTTCAAAGGAAAGGTGTTGTATAGCTGTTTTCTAAAGGATTCTTTTTGTTATTCAAAACCTATCACTTACTTCTTGTACATCATTAGAATTTGGTTATAGTCTGACTTTATCATAATATTGTGGACTGAGGTTCCATTGTGTTCTTAGCTATTTCATTCTTATTTCTTGATTAGTGCAAGGTATAGGTAAGAATCCACCTCTGCAAGAGCTTTCAGTGTGGTTGCTTTTGCCTATTTACTCTGTGCAAGTGATATAGCTATTTAAAGTCAGTATCTCATGTCATTCTGTTTGTATTCATATTTTTTGGAGGATGTGCAGTTGTCATTTTAAGACAGTGTGTTTTTTTAATGTAAGGAGTTTTTGGTGATTCTGAACATTTATTAACTTGGGGAGATTTGATGTAAGGCAAAATCTCTTATTTACATGGAGAAACAGGGAGAATACCTTACCTTCCCACTGCCCTTCTCATTTCATTTTCTTTTCTTTAAATCTTTCAAAGATTTTAGTTTGCTTTATTAAAATTGAGACAAATTCAGAACAAAAAGGAAAGGCCTGGATGAGAATTAGAGTGTAAGTAGTGTGTGATATTCCGGTTAGTTCATGCTTAAACCTCTTCCTTTGCTGCTGGACAGTGGACAGCATAGTCCCCAGACTTAGAGCCACTAGTGTGTTCAGTTGTTTGCAGCGTTTTCACAGCTTCCTTCCCCTCTGCTCCGGCCCACTTACCCCCAGCAGCTGCCAAGCTGTTCTGGTTGGTAGCGCCATCTAGTGGGCTCTATGTGGAAGAATCTGGCCACCCTCCAGTCCCCTCATCCTCACCCAACCCCCACCGCTAGCAGCTTTCTTCTGCAGAGGGGAGTTTACTCCCTCTTTCTTATCCTGGTTGGTTGTTTCTTAGCTACTTTCCTGCTTATCATCTGTCTTATACTTAGTGCCTAACTAATTGGCTCTGAAAATTTTCCTTCATAATCTTTGTGCTCCTGAAAGTGACTGATTATTGACTGTCAAAATGGTAATGATCTTTATATATCCAAGAAAATAATACTAAACTTTGGAAGAGAAATTAGACATTATTTAGAACCAGTGCCATCAGCCTCTGTTGCAACTATTAGGAAACCCTCTGTCCACAGAACTGGTGTTGTGTTGTTTATGTGCAGCCTCATGGTATCTCTTCATTCCTCTTTATTCTGAATAGCTCCTTTTTCTTTTTAATTACTAGTGAAAGATAAGACTAGTTTGATTTTGTTTTTCTGTAAGTATCACAGCAGGGGTGTTTTCCATTTTTTTATTTTCGAATGTCCTTTATGTTTTGGATTGTATAGTCAGTTACCTTGAAAGACCACATTTCATAAGAAAAAACAATTCCAGAGTTTCAAAACAAACAATTGTAAAATAAGCATTTGGGCCAACTGATTGGTAGGTTAAGATCTGCCCCCATTCATAAACTTGGGCTACTTTCAACCAATTGTCAGCCTCCCTTTATTTTTCAAAGGCAAAGATTGTATCAGGTTTCCTTTCTTTTTTGGAGTGGGTGTATATATGGATTTTCCATATAGCTTATATAAGTAAGGTAAAGGAGAGAATTCATGGCAGTTCCTAGTGGGGGGGTTATGATTTTACAGAGAAGAGGGTACATGAGAAAGGAGTGTATTGTTTCTTGTAGTCTATTTTTCATAGTCTGTTTCAGACACGTGAATAGAGACTGACTTTCAGTAAAATGGACATAAGTAGAGCCATAGATAGAATCAGAGAAAAATCAAGAAGTCAAGAATCAGGAAGAAACTGAAAATGAGTTGGGGGGAAAGCCTCCAGAATTCAACAAATGGGGGGAAAAGCCAGATGGAGGTAAGAAGCAAAAATAACAAACGGAACACTATTTAGCTGGGAATAAGGAAAGGAGAGTTACTGAGTGCTTAATGACATTACAATGTCTCTGTCCAGCAGGACTTCATTAACCTCTTTTATTTGAAAAAATCAGTTCTGATTTAGTCTGGGTTATGTGATGTGTATACTTCATTTTGAGGTGCGTATTCCCACCTTGAGTCAGCTTCAGAAAGGTGGCAGATGTACTCAGAATCAGATGGACTTATTTCTTAAACCCATATAGTCCTTCAGCTGTTTTGTGCTTTTGTTTTCCTATTTTCCAGTCTGGTAATAGGGGATGCTCTAGGCGGGAGATTTAGTTATAGCATTGATTCAGGGTGGAGCTAAACTGAAGATTTTGCTCTTTGAGGGTGGGGATGTTGTGTGTTGCTACATGCTGCTTAAATACCTAATAAACAGTAACAAGCTTAAGTTTGCTTTGCTGATGACACTGAATTGAAGCACTTGTAGACTTTTACAGTTTGCTTTTCCATGTACTGATTTCTGTCGATCAGCATGTTTATGATTTTCTTTATCTAACTTGGAATGTTTTATTGATCCGGAGAGAGACTGAGAGGAGTCCTGCCTGAGTTCAGTCACAGCTATGGGTCCAGAGAGCAAGGACGATGCCACAGCATTCATGCCCCTTCCCGTGGCACCTGCCCTCCCAGCCTGATCTCCAGACTCGGCCACTGACGGAGTCTTACAGTTTCTCTGACATGAATCCTTGGCCTCTCTTTTCCTGATCGATTCAGAGTTGTTTGTCTAATAATCAGTTTTTCCACTGATTATATTATAGGATCTTAGGTTCAGAGTATCAGATTCACCAATGCTAGATTTGAATTTTTTAACGTTATTTTAGTCATGGAGTTTGATTTCTTTTTATTTTTTACTCTTTGGGAAGGATGTTGTTAAGGATAGCTATCTAGTCCTAAAGTTTCAGTAGCAATTGCCTTGAAATACTCACCTGATTGTGCAAATAACACCATTTATAAACTTCTACAAAACCAGTGGCTCTCAACCCTGGCTGCATATCCGAATCTCTTAGGAAGTTTTGAAAAATACCAATATGTAGATCTTACCCCAGACTAACAACACCAAAATAGGATGGAGGGATAGCCACTGGGTGATTTTTTTTTTTTTTTTTGCTTCTCAGGTGAATTTTATTGTAAAGCTAGGTTTGAAAGCTCCTGTGGAATATTTATTTATTCCATAAATAAACATGTATCCAATAAGTCAGATGAGATCTCAAATTGTGAAGATTTACGCGAGTTTTCCATAGAAATTACTTAAAATGATTTCCTTGAACTCTGAACTGTTCCACTGTCTCAGAGGTATATGATTACTATGATTACTTAGGTGACCATTCTGTTTCTAGGAGTTATTATTAGTCAGCTGTCTTTTAAACATTCTTTTGAAAGAAAGGCCCCAAAGGAGGAAATCTTTCAAAGAAACAAACAAAATGAGTAGGAAATGAGGTGGTTACAGAGCTCAGAGATCGACCATAGTGTGAAAATCTGTCTGCTAGGAAATAAGGGCAGATGGACTGTCATGGAGGTTTGCAGCATTGTTAATGTCTAGAGAATGTGCTCTGAAATCAGGTATTGCGGACATTGTGTTTAGAATAAGGGAATTACTTCCCTTTCAAATACACTCTCACTTTTGTGCATCATGGAAAATGAAGAAAGTGCCAATCATGAATGTAATGATTACTGTGAAGGAGCTGTTTGGTAACCAGCCTCAAATGTCCTGCCATAGTAAGAATATGAGCTTTATTTAAGTATAAACATTTGGGGGGAAAAAAGACAGTAAAGCAGCAGTTCTGTAGGTGGCATATGAATTGTTTTGAATAATGTTTCTTAAAGTAGCCCCTAGGAGTACCTTCATTAGAATTACCTGGGTACTTTAAAAAGTTTGGGCCTGTTCCCAGACCTACTGCGTGAGAATCTGGAGTGGAGTTGCTCAGTCTTTTTAATGAAGGTAATTCTGATGAGCGCCAATATTTAGGAACCTTGTGCTTAGTTCTTCAGCTTCTTTGTAAAGATGCTTTTTCCATGCAGGCAATAGTGTCAGTGTATTAAATTTATGCCTATGAAAGAAAAATTAAAAGTTATATTTATTCTTTCATGTCAGCAAGCAGATCTGATATCATTAGGAAAAGTTGTGTTGGCTTTGGCTTGCAACTCTTTGGCAGGAATTCAGCGAGAGAATTTACAGAAAGCCATGGAACTGGTGACAATCAACTACTCCTCTGACCTGAAGAATCTGATTTTGTAAGTTTTAATGTAATGATCTTATGAGATAAGACAGATTTTTCATGAGAGTCTTTAAACAGTGATTCTATTGATTTTTAGTTTCCACTATTTAAAATCAGGCAAAACATAATTAAATAATTTTTAATTTATTTTTATTGCTAAGTATGTATTTCTTGAAATAAATTCATAAACCAGTGTGTTTAAATTAATTATTGGTGTTTTAAACATTTGGCCAAAGGGTAGACCCCCTAGAGATGCATTGGTATCTACGAGCTACATAAGATGTTTTAAATTTAAATAAATTACAGTTAAATAAAATTGAAACGATTCAGTTCCTCAGTTGCACCACGTACATCTTAAGAGCTTAGAAGCTGCATGTACCTTCTGGCTCATATACTGGACATTGTGAACATGGAACATTTGCATCATCTCAGAAAGTCCATTAGACACTGCTGCTCTCCAGAGTGGTCAGTATCTTTGTAAGAGCTATCATAAATAACCCCATCTGCAGCCCAGTTGTGTGGTGTGTGGCCCACACCCCTGTTTCAGAGAGCATGTGTGTCAGGGTCCCTGTGCTTCTCCCCCAGTGTCTTTATACTCCAGGAAATCCTTGATTGTAAGTCTGAAATGACTGGGGCTTGAGAGAAGCCCAGTCCACTGTGGACTGCTGTCATGATGGTCTATAAGATGCATCTGACATCGGGGATTCTGGAGGGGGGACAACCAGAACTTTTATTTTAAATGATTCAGGAGAAAAGATGCTAGGAAGTCTCCTTTGAAATTTTTTTTCTATGATGTTCTAGAAGCAATTAGAGCTTATTGATCCTTTTCAGTCTCTTTTAGCTTCCAGCTGTTCCTTCTGATCTTTCTGTGTAACCCTGGATGATCCAGTTTCTTTTTGGACTAGCCCTGTGGTATGGAACTGAGGGACGGAGGATGGGGCTGCCCACCTGTGCTTTGTTACACTGGCCTAAGTGTCCTGCTTGTGACAGAGCACTGGAGCCAGTGGTTACCTGGTTCCTCTTATGATCAACTAAGATGATTTCTCTTAAGTAAAAATATTTGTTTCGTATATTATCACAGCAGTGATTTCTAGCCATAGCTTGCAACACCTAGGATGTTTTACGTAATCTCAAGTCATAATTTTCCCTTTTTATAAAAGTGAGAGTAAAGGATATAAGTGTAATAAATTGGCCATAAATTAATAATTTTTGAAACTGGGTAATGGGTACATGAAGATTCATCATACTCTTCTCTCTCCTTCTATAAATGTTTGAAATTTTCCTTAATAAAAAGTGAATAAACAAAAAAGTCATACTTTCATACTAACCAGTAATCAAAATTTACAGAGCAGTAAACTATGTATCATGTACTTTTGAGCTGATTGATGTGAATTATGAATTAATTCACCTAATTCTCCCAATAACCCTTTAAATTAGGTACCATTACTAGCTCCATTTTAAAGATGTCAAAACTGAGGCTGGGAGATATAAAGTTATTTACTTGCCAAAGTCACATAGCTTATAATAACTTAAAGTGTGAGTAGTTAGATATAAATGTCAGTAATTACAGATGAATGGCTAAGACATAGATTGTCCACATGAGTTCATGAGCGTTCATTTATTCAACAAAAGAATGCCTAACTCTGTGTCAGATGCTGAAGCTACCTTGTATAAGATAAACAGAATCCCCCATCTTCTGGAGCTTCCCCCCATTATAATGGGGAGGAGTTAATGAACACGTCAACAAGTAAGATGTTTGCAAGATAGAGATAAGTCCTATGGAGAAAATAGGTATAATTATAAGCAGAGCACAGAAGAGTTAGAAGCTGCTTTGTTAGGAATGGTTAGGACACAGCTGACCTGTCAGAATACTAATACTAAATGATCGATAATCATTGCGTTCTGACAGGTAGCCCTTTGAGACGTGTAGTATTTTTCTGCCTTAGTTATGATGGTAGAAGAAACTGTTCTTTTTCCTGATGTGTGTTAGTGCATGGAGATTTCTCAGAAATAAAAATACCCCGACAGCTGGCAAATGAAGTCACAGAGCAGGAGACAGCTTCCTAAAAAGCTGAGGGTTGTTTCCCTTACCGAAATGAACGTCTGAGTTTTAGTTTAAAAACTATTTTTGAAGACCAATGGAAAAATTTCCCCACTTACAACCACCCCTTCCAAAACTTTTGGATCTTTTCATCTCCCACTATTGTAAAGAAGGGTTTGAGAATGGAAATATGGTAAGTGTAACTCTATACCCAGCTTTCCTTTCTCATTTTCATAGTAGTAAAAGATTAGAGAAAGAGACGTTTTTACAGTTTTTTCCATTGGCTCTTAAAGTTTTCCAGAGAAAAGAAATACAGTCATTAAGCTTTAAAAATGAACTCGACTTGCATGAAAAAAAAATTTTGAAATTGTGCACACTAACATGCTGGTGGCAGCAGTCCCTGTGTGCTTGTGGGTTGTGTTGTTCTGTAAACTGCGTGTTTGGCATTCAAGTGATCCTTCTCTATTTTGGTTAGATATTTGTTGACTGACCAAAACAGGATGCGAAGTGTAAATGACATCATGCCCATGATTGGTGCTCGATTTTATACTCAATTGGATGCTGCTCAAATGAGAAATGATGTCATAGAGGAAGACCTTGCAAAGGTAAAGTGTGTAGTTAAAGGAGTGTGTACACACCTGCATCTGTGTGTATCAGTAGATGTAAAACAGAGTAATTACTGTGCTGGATATAGTACGCAGCTGGCTAAGACTGTTTGCAGATATTTTTGTCCAAACTCAGTGTTCAGTATTTTGATTTCTCAGGTCCTCTGGGTGTTTGTCTTACTTTTTTTTGTTCATGGTTTTGCTACAGTCTTGAGATACAATCTTGATTTTTTTTTTTTTAATATGCAGTCTTAGTAGTAGACAGCTACAGCGGGGGAAGAATAAATCACAGGCTTGTGATTAATACATACACCCTACTGTATATAAGATAGATAACCAACGGGGTCCTATTGTGTAGCACAGGAAACTACTTCAGTCTGTGATAACCTATATGAGAAAAATCTGAAAAAGAATGAATACATGTATATGTGTAACTGAATCACTTTGCTATACACCTGAAAGTAACACAAAAACTATAATCTAATAAAAAAAAGGGACAGTTGCGTAACCATCTTGAGTGTTACAGTATGTGAAAAGAACATGTTATATTCAAAAGTATAACCAAAAGATGGGGATATTAGGGTTTATAGTTTAAAGCTAATCTTGGTACAGGATACCAGTTTTATAAACATTTGCTTTTATATTCAGTTAGCTGGAACATTAATATTCTCTCTCTTTTTAAAATGTTTTATAGGAGGTTCAAAATGGAAGACTGTTTAGGCTTCTAGCAAAATTGGGAACAATCAATGAGAGGCCGGAGTAAGGATTTACAGTATTTTACATCAATCAAGGGCACTGTTTTGCATAACCAGAATGAGTATACCTTATTCTTACTGATTTTATTTGGGAGAAGAGAAGAATTCTCATGTAAAGTGACCTTAAGCCTGCTGTTAGCCATTAGGGTGGTGTTTGTGATCACAGCCCCGGTTGCGGTTTTCCTTAGGGATCACATGCGCACAGAGACACACACACACACACACACACAGATACACAGACACACACTATACACATACACACACACACATACATCTACACACAGAGACACACACTATACACACACACACTATACACACACACACTATAGACACACACACACTATAGACACACACTACACACATATGCATACACACAGAGACACACATACATACTACACATATACACGCACATACTACAGACACATACACTGTACACATACACACACTACACACAGAGAGAGACACACATACACATACATGCACACACTACACACACACTATACACTACACACATACTACACACATGTACAGACACACATATACATATATACATGCACACATTATACACATGCATACTACACACACAAAGATACACATACATGCACACAATACACACATACATAAACACTACACACATACATACACATACACACAGAGACACACATACACACTACACATGCACACTACACACATACACACACCAACACACATACATACACATACACACTGCACACATACATATGCACACTACACACACATACACATATACACACGCATATACACTACACACATACATGCACATGCACACATACACACACATGCAGAGAGACACAGAGACACATATACAACACACACACATACTCATACACACATATACAGATACATACACAAACACATACATGAACAGAAAATACAGTATGTTAAAAACCTCTGTTGTGGTTTGCCTGTGAGGGAACATTTTCTGCCTGTCAGTACTGCCTCTCCCCATCTGCTTTTTGAAGCCTGTTCCGTTTACCATGGTCAGACTGGATCTTTTTGATATTTCTAATTGTTTCATGCCTCTTATCTTCTGTTAAAGTGCATTGTTTATAGCTGTCACATGAGTGACACTGGAAAGGCATCACCATCTTACATTATTGTTTAGTTCTGCCTTGTTTGTTAGTTAAAATTAATTGTATGTTCAAGAAAGAAGCAAGGTTGATATTTATGCTTCATATCTGTCGCAAAGTCAAGGTGAAATAGTAGTATAGCTGTGGTGACTGGTATACAAGCTGCTGCTGCTGTTAAGTCACTTCAGTTGTGTCCAACTCTGTGCGATCCCATCCCTGGGATTCTCCAGGCAGGAACACTGGAGTGGGTTGCCATTTCCTTCTCCAATGCATGAAAGTGAAAAGTGAAAGTGAAGTCGCTCAGTCATGTCTGGCTCTTCGTAACCCCATGGACTGCAGCCTACCAGGCTCCTCCATCCAAGGGATTTTCCATCCCAGGCAAGAGTACTGGAGTGGGCTGCCATTGCCTTCTCCGCACAAGCTAAATTTCAGGATTGTTAACTGCTTGCTGTTCGTAGAGATAGGTGGTAGATAAATACCATTGCTTGAGGGAGTTTTTTTGACCACAAAATTTAAATTCACTTACCTTTCTTCAAAGTTAAAAGATTCAGTTAGCATTTTCCCTAGTGATTTTTCTGAATAAAGAGAATGTGGTCATATGTTGAACCATTTTAAAAGTTTTTAATTACTTCTTCTGGCATTTATCTCTTTATTTAAAAATAACATGCTTAAGTGCTGTTTCTTGATTTTTCGTCAGTGTTTCAATTTTTCTTCAGTTTTTTTCTTCAATTTTTCTTTCTCAGCTAATGACTTTGTCCTGTGGCAGGTGAGGCTGTATTTCTCATACACCCTTCCCTTAACTAAACACAAACACACACTATACCATTTAACCCCTTAATTTTGAGATGAGTATTCAGTGTTGACATTACTAGAGCAAGGTAAATACTGTTTGTAGCTTCACCACACAGTAAATCATGACTACAAAGGAATGTTTTGTATTTTGGTTTTTGATTTTTGTTTTCCTGGTGTGAATACTTGTCTTATGTAGAAAACTAAGCAAGTGAAAAATAGTTACCACCAGTTCATTCTAAACTCGCTGCTGGATATAAAACACCCTTCCATATGGTCAAAAATAAGTAATAACCTCTCAGTTCCTTTTTTCCTCCCCATTAAAGAAATTACCCCTGGGGCCTCTGCCAGCTGCCCCTCTAGGGGCTGGTTGTCTTCCAGCCTGCTCACGCCCTCAGCTGAGACCCCAGGCTTCCCTTCACTCTTGCCCTGGCAGCTCTCCCTCTTCTTGTTCCCCCTCTGTGTTACATGCCCTGTTCCTGGCTTTTTGCATTGGTTTACTCTTCTGCTTTAATAAATCATATCCTTCTGTAGCTTCCTGAGAAAGGGGAGTTTTTCTCAGTGTTTGGAAGTCTAAAAATATCTTTATTCTGCTTTCATAGTTTATTGATAATATGATTGGGTATATGTCCTCAGAAAGTTCTTTTTATTAATAAAATCTTTTGAGTATAGTGTGTATGAACCAGTCTCTTTAAAAGTAGAAAAGGTTTGCAGTGAAAAACCTTTCATACCTGACATCCCCAGTCTCTCCAGTCCTCCTACCAGCCTTTAGTTTATTAGTCTCTTGTACATATTCCCTGAGTTAGCAACTGTATATTCTTATCACCCCTCTACTTTAAAATATGTGCAAATTGTAAGTTATGTACAGTGGTCTGTATAGTGCACATGACAGTATGTTTTCTCATAACATTGTATTTTGGAAATCTTTGTACAGATAAGTTTAGTGTATGCCCAGCAATCTTCTCAATAGTTAACAAACATGACCTAACTGAATCCTAGTAACAGCCCATTGTGTGGATACTTCAGTATTCCCTTTTAATAGAGAGATTGAAGCATAGACAGGTTAAAAGCCTCCGGGGTCACACATAAAGTCAGGACTCGAGTCCGGACAACATGTGGTTCCAGAGTCTGTGCTGTCTTAACCACAGTGCCATACTTGCTCATGGTCAGTGGCCGTGTAATAGTCCATCCTGTGGATGCTCTGTAATTTGTCTCTCTAGTTCCTTATCAATGGCCTTTTGAGTTGTTCTCAACCTTTTACCTAGTATAAGCGGTTCTGCAGGGACTGACTTAAGCATACTTAATTTTGTGTGTGTACAAGTGTAGGTCCAACTCTGATTATGAGGTACCTGCTGGAATTTGTGACTGTAATTTGATAGCTGTTAGAAGGATTTACCAGTGTACAGTGCATGAGAGTCTTTCACTAGCAATACTTTTTCCAAACTTCTGGGTTTTTCACAACCTGATGAAAAATTGAATCTCAGTGCAGGTTTTTTGGTATTTACTCATAATGAGCATGTTGCCTATCTTTCTGATTCATTTTTGTTTCCTTTTCTGTCTGTCTGTTGCTTTGCCCATCTTTATTTCCAGCTGCATTTTCTGTCTTTTTGCTGTGTAGGAGCCAGAAGGATCTGACCTTTGTGATCCTTTCTTTTAAGTTTGTCATCTTTCTTTTGACTCTGCTCAATTTTTTCCCATATAGACATTTTTTATAGTAGTCGTATTGATCGAATTTATTTTTTGCTTCTGGATTTTGAGTCATGGTCAGAAAGTTAGCATTTCTACTCTTAAGATGATCTTATGAAGGGATCATCAAGTATTTTCTAGAATACTTAAGGTTTCATTTTTTTATATTAAATTTTTTTATATATTTGGAATTTATATAGTATGTAAGGTATGAATTCACCACCACCCCCACCAGATGACTATCCAGTGGTCCAAAAGCTGTTTACTTCATAGTCTAGCTTTTCCCACTGGTTTATTAAGGCAGCTGCTCTTTCACACTATCTTAATGAATGACATTTAAAATCTAGTAGTGTTAGCTCTTTCTTGTCTCCGCTTTATTGGTTTTATTAAATTTATTAGTAAGCTTAAGGAGCATTTGTGTTTTTTAGATGTGCAGTTACCTTCTCCAAGATAATGGCATGTCACTGTATTTGCCGATGTCTGCTTTAGTATCTTTCAGAGTTTACATTGTTCTTCATATAGTTACAATACACTAAGTTTATTCTTAGGTGTTTTTACTTGTTGCTGTTTTCAATGGAAATTTCCTCCATCCTGTCTTCTTAGAGTCTTTGTTATTGGTGTATGTGAAAAAAATTGATTTCTATAAATTTTGTAGCATGGGACTTCTAGTGTTTGGGTAGTTTTTCAGTTGATTCTTCTGGGTTTCTCAGTCATGTCTTCGTATAATGATAGTCATATTTCCTCCCTTCTCATTTCTGTACTTTTGATGTCTCTTGAATGACTGTGTTTGTACCTCTAATTCATAGTTCAGTAATAGTAATGATAGTTTCTTTCAGAATTTGAAACACTGCTCCATTTATTGTCTTTTAACTTATAGACAGACTCAGAGCCATTTTCTTTCCAAATTTTTCTTCATCCCCATGCTTTTAGGACAAACCACTCCCCCCTTTTTTTTAAATCATTGATGTGCAGAAATCCACAACGATGTGCTGTGATGGTGGGTTTTTGATTCGTTCTGATGAATCAACAGATGGGCCTTTTAACCTTGGGTATTTCTATCTTTTAGTTCTTGGAAGTTGTCTTACTCTTTCTTTGTAAACCTCTTTCTGGAATTCGTGCTGCTTAGATGTTAGACCTTTGCAATTGATTTTCTAATATTCTCTTCTGTTTTCCATATTGTGTCTTAGTGTTTTGCTTTGTAGCCAAAAATCTCAACTTACTCTGTCTGAAGTTAAAGTGTTTTTTCCTAATGCTTTAAATTTGTACTTTCTAGGCAATAATCTCAACTTACTTGGTCTAAAATTAAAGGGTTTCTTCCCTAATCCTTTAAAATTTTTTGAGTTTCTGCTATATTTTAAATTTCCAAATATTTCTGCTTTCTGAATATTTCTGTCTTACAGCATTTAATTCATTTTTGTCTGAGACTATCAATTATAGATTTTTATTGAGTGGGTTTTTAAAATTTTTGTTTAACTTTTATTTTGTCCCCTGCAGTATCTCTTAGGAAACCCCACTAATGACTTCCCCTTCAAGCACCCCACAAAATATTAGGGCTCAGGCTTTTTTTTTTTGGATCTGCTAAGTCATGCCGCTTACCTGTCTGCTTTTCACCTTTCGAATTTTTGTGAATATTTTTTGTCTCCTATTGTTTCTGATCCCTTTGTCCTTGTGTGTCTATATGTTTTCTTAGACACTTACTCTCAGTTGGCTGGGGTTTTGAAAAGGAACAGAGATAAATGGGTGTGTTTAATCAACTTTTAATTGAAAGACCCTGGAGTGATCTTAATAAAGCAGACACATGACTGTGGGGGGCTTCCCTCTTTGTTCTCAGAATGCAGACCTCATTTTTACATGTGATCTAAGGCTGCATGGCCTGACCTCTCCCTTTTCATCCTTGCTTCAGATCTGCCTTTTTTTCCTTTTAATATCCTCCTTGCCTCTTGTGCTGTCTGCCCATCTTTTCTTGTACCTCTCCTTGTCCTCACTCCAGTCATGCACTCTGATCCTCTTTTCCCCCCAGCGCCATCCAGCCTCACTTACCTTTTCTTGTTTAGGTGCCCCTTGCTCTGTCCCTTGCGCATACTGAGGCCTCTGACCAAGAGGCATACTTCCTTGGGGAGAGCACCATTCCCTCTCTGGAAAGCCTTCCTTGGCTTCCCAGGTGAATTCTTGTTTCTGGTCTGTACTGTGTCCCTGTTTTTAAATAGCATTCTCTCCATATGCAATTGCAGCTTTTTGTTGTTATTTGAATTATCTTTTCACCACTAACCTATATGTTTCATAGGTCACTGAAAACTCACAGTGACCATCTGGCCAGTTTTCCAGCTCTTTGCCACTCACTTTCACATCATCACATAATGGTAGGAAACCAGTATCTACCCCATTTTGTTTAGTCCTAAACATTTCCTTGTTTTATGCCCCCAGTAAAGCAGAAGACATGTCTGACATCTCTCTCTACCCTATAGAGAGAGGTCATTTGCTTTCTTCCCCATTTTATCTAATGGTAGGGGCCTAAGTGAGGAAGGGATTGTGAAGTAGGAGTATGTAAGGGGGTGATTGCTTTGAGAAGTAGAAAATGGTATTCATATACTTCCATGTTCAGTGAGATTATTTTAAAAAGTCTATGGGCACTCTGGACATAAAAATTAGATTTAAAAAAGCTACACACAGACCCTACTTTCTGGTTGATTGTAGACAACAACAAAGCTGGTTTTGAGTCTGAAGTATAAACATACAGCTTTGTGGTGTAAGCATGAGTTATTGAGGTTAATATTCCCTTCCCTCAGGTTTCAGAAGGATCCTACCTGGTCGGAGACGGGAGACCGGTACCTGTTGAAACTCTTTAGGGATCATCTTTTTCATCAGGTGACAGAAGCGGGTGCTCCTTGGATTGACCTCAGTCATATCATTTCTTGTCTTAACAAGGTAATCTGGGCCTGGACTTTGAAGATTATGATGCTCTAATCTCCAGTTTATAGAGCTGCATCTTGTACAAATACTGAGAGATGTAAGGAATTACGTCTCTGTACTCTGCATGTGAAGAGTTGACTCATTGGAAAAGACCCTGATGCTGGGAAGGATTGAGGGCAGGAGGAGAAGGGGACGACTGAGGATGAGATGGCTGGATGGCATCACCGACTCAGTGGGCATGGGCTTGGGTAGACTCTGGGAGTTGGTGATTAACAGGGAGGCCTGGCGTGCTGCGATTCATGGGGTTGCAAAGAGTCGGACACAACTGAGCGACTGAACTGACTGACTGACTCTGCTGTAATATACAGGGCATGTTATTCATAATTGTTAGCTGCTCCCACTTAAGTAGCTCTTTCTGGAATGGGAGTATTTTTTAAAACCCGCATGAATAATTTCAGAATTTTTCATGGTGGATCTTTTTGTTGTGATCAAATGTCACAAAATGACTGCCTTTTCTCCCCCAACCCACCCCCACTGTATTTTATTTACCAGGTGTAGTTTGTTTCAACATATGAGGCCATAAGTGGGAAAGACAAAAATACTTTTGCGTTTAAATATCTTTAAAAGTTGAATGCCTTTCTTTGCAGTCATGGGTCACGTTGAGTGCTCTCAGCTCAGGGTGTCAGTCGAGTGTTGAAACTGAGAGCCCAGTGCCAGGCATGCCACAGAGCCCGCTGTGGTAAATGGGGGTGGGTGGCTGGATGAACCATGTTGGTGGAGGCGTGTCAGAAGTTTATGTAAGAGGCGAGCTTTGTGTTTTAGAGAGGGCTCGGAGAGATGGGGTTTACAGAGGAAGGGAGGAATGCATTTTCCTTGTGAGCTACTTGTAATCACGGAGAGAAATGGGTCTTCAGAGGTGAACCCTCTTTTGTTTAGGTTTGTATGTGAAACAGGGGTTGGCAAAATTGTAAAAACAACAACTAACAACATGAAACAGAGGCTTGTATATGGCCCTGAAATCGAAAGCATTTACTGGCTGGCCCTTCTCTGCTGACCCCTGGTCTAAGCTGTCCCTAAATTGCAACGATTAGAGCAGAAACTAGCCACTGTGGCCCATGATTTAGATCTGTTGGCTACAGTGTACTCACCCTCCAGATGAAATGGGTTTTATTTTTAAGCATACTTTGCCATGTTTGAATTTCCTTAAAACTCTTTGGAGAGTATTGTCAGTAACCTACATTAAGACAGAACAAGACTATGTATAATTTAGCTAATCTGGTACGATTTATATATTCATTTGTCCTTTTTTTTCGGAGAAAACATTTTTCTTAAGCATCAAGTGGAGAATAATGCCGCCAGATTTTAGAAAACAGTCTATAGCATCAAAGCACCAGTGGGTAAAAATACGTAAAACTGGAATAAATACTGACAGGGAGAACCTGTGAATAAGCCATGAAGAGATGGCTTATTGTAGATGAAGATTACTTACTGAGTATTAGGATAACTGAAGCTTTGGAGAAAATTGTTTCATTTCATAAAATAACTGGGAGTAAATAACTCAGTAAATAAAATAGGAGTAAATAAGTTTACCTTAAATCTGAAAATGTGGCAATTTTTTGTTTAGAAAGAGTGTAATAAATTAAAAGGGACGGTCATTTTGGTGATACAAAAATTAAATTTTTACATAGATTATTTTGGTGGAAATGACAGAAATTAGATGGTAAAATGATTTGAAAGGCTATTGTCTTAAGAATTAGTGTTAAACATTTTAATGAATTAATGAAAAGGGAAGGAAAAAGGTACATTGAAAACTAACAAAAATAAAGTGAAAATCCTAACAGGAGAAGTTATTTGATGAACTCAGGATTCTTACTAATGCTTTATAAAGGCCTCATTAAAATATTATTGCCAGATCCTGATAGATAAGGATTTGGTAATGATCATATACTGGCATTCACACAAGTGGAAATAACAGAAGTAAACGTATAAAAACATTTGGTAACATTAGTTAAAAAGATAAAAAAAAAACGTTAAAAAAGGTAAATTAAAACAGCAAGGCACTCATTTGATGTGGTGTTACTGGTAAATTGATACAGATCATAAATTTGTGCTGTTCAATGTCCTTTGGAAAGCAGTTTGCCTGTATGTATTAAGCTATAAAATTCCTCAGACTTCTTGATTCCGTCTCTCCTAGGGAAGTAATTCTACAAAAGAAGAAAATTAAGTAGCAAAATATGTTCATTGCACTGTAATTCATGATGCCCAAAGACTGGAAGATATTGGGGGAATAATTAAAGTCTGCATTTTATGGAGTATCAACTGGATGGAAAGTATTGCATCCAAGTGTTAAGTGTGAAAGACAGAGAGGCAGCAACGTAGGGCAATGTTTGTAAAAACACACCTGAGTTGAAAAGTGTGTGCATACTGACTAGTGATGTAAAATATTTATGATTATCTAGAGGGGGATGTGACACAATTTTTAAAAATTTCATATGTTACTGTTGCACGTGTTGTCCTAAAATAGGCTTGCACTTCACATTTTCTGTGTCTGTCTGTTTCAGTTAGATGCTGGTGTGCCAGAAAAAATAAGCCTCATTTCCAGAGATGAGAAGAGTGTACTTGTGGTGACTTACAGTGACTTAAAGCGATGCTTTGAAAATACTTTTCAAGAACTGATTGCAGCTGCGAATGGTCAGTTGTAGTATTTGCTTAAAAAAAAAAATAGGCGGGATATGGCCAAGGAGCTCAACCAATAGCAAATTGCACTACAGCTGAACTGTCGTCATCTCATCTCACGTCGGGAAGCACGCAGAAGATGAGCAGAGCTGCTTGCACTTGGGTCAGGTGCACTGTTACTTGAAAGAAAGAATGTCTCCCTCAGCCCCGAGCTGTGGCTGCCGGCGGGGCCACACCTGTGAAGAATTTATTTTAGATCAAGGAGCACCATTAGGTGAATGATGTTCCAGCTTTTTTTTTTTTTTTTTTTTCCCACTTGTATATGCACTAATTTTAATTTTTTTAAAGACTTTTTTCTGATCTTTGAACTTTTGCCATGTTGTATACTTATTAAGGGAAACTATTTGCAAGGACACTTTTGGGAAACCATGCTGGGCAGCATTTTTGTTCACTGAGGGGTGCAGAATTTGCTCTTTTGGGGAGGGGTTGCCCTGAATAACATAACAGACCAGGTCAGTGATTTCATGGAAGTACAGTATAGTGCATAGTTCTTGTAAAGAGTATTATATGCAAGCTCTGTATGCCACCCACTGTTTGTTCAGATTGAGAGGTTTTTTTGTTTTGTTTTTACGAACACAGAAAAGTATCAGTGAATTATTGGGCATGAATCCCCTCTCAACTGATTTAAATCCTTTCTGAATGAGGATAGACAGTCACTGAAGGAGCATACAGAACTCTTCGCTCCAGATTCAACCAGAGCCTTTTTTTTTTTTTTTTTAAAAAAAAAAAAAAAAGGTGTTCCCCTGCTAATCAGATAACATTTATGCCATTTGTTTTTTAAATAGAAAAAAAAAATTAAGAAATTGTGTTAAAGGCCTGAAGGTCAGGAGTCTTTTGCTTTCGGTTCCTTCCAGTTTGCTTTTTTTGTATAAAGGTCTGTTCTTTGAACCACAGCTTTACTATGGTACTTTACACTGGACACAGATGCAGAGACACTGTTCAGAAGACAAACTGCACACAGCAGTGGTCTGGCGTCGAGAGTTTTCTGAAGTCTTACAGCCTGGATCTGGAAGGATCACAGTCTGCTGTGCCTTTGCAGTCACTGCTTAGCCCAAAGTCATAGTGCTTTTGATAATAATAACTCTGTGGGGGTATTCCTGAGTCAGTCAATCTCAAAAGTTTGGAATTTTCCTCCTCTTAACTTTCTTAACATTTGGACGTGCAGTTGTCGCCAAACTTGGGTATTCATGGAATTTCTAGTCAATGAAATACCTGTCCTTAGATACTGAAGACTGCCAAATACATAGGAATTTTCTTTCATAAAAACCAGTAATGAAGACTTTTATCTCCTTTCCCAGCACTGAATGTTTTCCTAGCACTGGGTGCTCACCACACAACGATGAAGAAATGTGGAAACTCAGAAGGTCGGGAGGGACTTCCAGGCACTTGCAACTGATGTGACAGTCTTCAATTTTAATAACTATTCATATTTGTAGTTTTCAGAGAAGTTTTTAATATTTCTCTGTCCACTTTTTATAAGCTTTAAAATGATTTTCTCTGCCTTGAGATTTGCATCAAGAAAAAGCACCTCTTCACCCAAAAGCTTTGAAGACTAGAGACATGCTTTACATGTTTTAACAAGTGTGTTTGAGTCCACGTTTGGTAGCATCAGTTGTTGAGTTAAAAAGGAAATCAATTATTGCATTTGATCAGGATGGATTTTAAAAAGAACATAATGTTCACTATTCAAAGGATAATTAACATTTGCCACCATAATGTTCTTTTTTTATGTAAAAGGAACAAGAACTTGGAGACATTAACATGCGAAGGTCTTTTATCATTATTAGCTCATGTATTTGAGGAAGAGCAGCTGTCTTTTTATATGTTTTTTGACAAATCATATTGTAATTCTTTTGTACAAAAAAGAACTACTTGTATTCTAGAAGAAATATGAAATGCTTAATTTATAAGCGGGCTGGAGATTTTTTCCAATATTGTTTTCTTTGAAAATGAAAGGGGATCATCTATTTTAGTTTTGGGGTCTGGGAACTTTTTGAAAATTTAATTTGTGGACCAATGTTATGTGAAAGTTAAGGAAGGGCAGGGGTAAAATAGGGCTTGATTTTCTCATTCTGTACAGACCAGCAAACTTCCCTCTGCAAGGCAGGCTCAAATCACAAACCCAAGAGTGTTTGCGTCATAAAACGCTAGTTTGCTTCAGCCCCTAGTAACCTCAGGACTTGGTTTGAATATAAAAGGTAGACAACTGATATGTTTTCATGAGTAAATATTGTCAGCCAGAAAACAGTTGGTGTCAGGTAAATGTATTTTTTTTAAGCTTTGTTTTATATTTATTTTTCATTTAGTTTTTATTGGGAATGGTTTTCAATAGCACTCTTATTAGTTCTGCTTAGGTGTTTTTTGGGGGAGCCCTCTTTTCCATAGTGTAATTCCACTTAAGAGGTTGTCTAAAAGTTAGTCTTTTTAATTCATAGGAAGGTTTTAATATCTGAGAGTACTCAAATTAAGGATGTGAGCTTCCCACACCTCCCTGTCAGGACAGACATAGAAGCACAGCAAGGACAGCCCCGAATCATGTGACGTCGCCGTTCAGCCTCTGTACCTGCTTTCCGTTCTGTCCGTGCGTTTACTCATTGTAAATATGTTTGAGGGCACCTTTGTGTTTTTGCCTTTGACCTCGGTTCTGTGATTTGGATGTCAGCAGCTTCCCTGAAAAGCACCAGTGTGTTAAGTTCTAATGTCATGACCCCTATCTGGGTTATTTCATCTTTAATCCTGTTTTCAGTCTCTATGTGTACAGCAGTATTTTTAATAAAGATTTACAGAGAGAAGATTGTCCTTTTTTTTTTTTTCTTTTTGGTACCAGTGCGTTTAATAAGAGGATGTTTGTCTTATGATCAGGACTTAAAAGGCTGAATATTTCATATATGTTTTGGAGGAATTTTTGGTCTTTGGGTAAAATGGTGGCAGATTTATTTACTAAGTATCTGTTAAATGCTTAACTTGGACCTGTTCTAGACACTAAAAATGCAGATATGAGTACTTGTTATTTACAGAATGTATAGTTACACCCAAACATTTCTAAATAGTACATGGCACATGGTGTAGTTCAGCGAAGAGGACCTATTTCCGTGAAGGGAATGACACCTAGCTCATCATTGATTCAGACTCAGTCTACTGTGTAGATGAAGGCACCCTGCCCCCCACACCCTCCAGAAACATCATATAAGGGTAGAGAATGAAAATATGGCAAAATGTTAATACTCAGCGAAACTGGATACTTGTTCAATAAATATAAGCATACTTCAGAGAGACTGTGGGTTCAGACCCCTGCAATAATGCAGTAAAGTGAGTTGCATGAATTTTTTGGTTTCCCTGTGCATATAAAGTTATATTTACACCATCGATAGCATTATGTCTAAAAAAATGTATATACCTTGACTTAAAAATCTTGCTGGTCATCATCTGAGCCTTCAGCAAGTTGTAATCTTTTTGCAGTAGTAACAGCAGAGATTCCTAGTCACTATAACAAATACAGTAAGAATGAAAAAGTCTGAAGCACTAAGAGAATTACCAACACAAGCCATGAAGTGAGCAACTGCTGTTGAAAAACAGTGCCTTTAGACTTAATTTGACGCAAAGTTGCTACACAAACTTCCAGTTTGTAGAAAGCACAGTAACTGTGAGGCCTGTCTGTATTTTATTGAATGCCTGTTACCACATTATTGACTAAAGATGTATTAATATGTCTTTTGTTACTTAGATGTTATTGACCAGAAACGTATCAATACATTTTTTTTTTTTTAAGAGAGTGGTGCAATTAACACTGTACGAAGTTGTCAGAGCTTGAAATCAATCCAGGATTCATTATACAACTTAGGATTGTTATTCACATGTTGCTCTATTAGGTTTTTGTTCCAGTCTTGTGTATATCATAAACAGAAACTTCTTGGAAATGGTGTGCATTAAGGAATTTTGAGTGAAAAGCTTTTGGTGAACTTTACACAGACACTTTCTCTGATAGGCCAAGCGATATATATACTAGTGTCTTCAGAATGTAGTTATGATTCAGATGATGTGAACATTAGAGCAACAAAAAGACAAAAAACCTTAGTGGTTGATTCTGATACGGAAAGTGGACATGAGGCTGACTGGTGCTGGGGGATGTATTCTTTGCTTCTGCTGAAGAGTAGGTTGAAGACAATGTTTCACGAAAATTAGAAGACTTTATAGGTGTGCCAGGTATTCATGTATTGAATGCAGTAACCCGCAAAGTGTTAATGAAATAACAATGAATTTTGGGCCCGGTCAGAATAAAAATTGTCTGCCACAGCTGTTTCTGCAAAAAGCCCCCAGTCAGTAAAGAGTTAATGCCAGGCATTGCGCTAGGAACCAACAGAATCCTGACCACAGCAAGTATTTGTGTTCTTGTTGCTCAGTTGTGTCCGATTCTTTGTGACCCTATGGACTGGCCCGCCAGGCTCCTCTGTCCACGGGATTCTCCAGGCAGGAATACTGGAGTGGCTTGCCATTTCCTTCTCCAGGGGATCTTCCTGACCCAGGGTTCAAACCCTGGTCTCCTGCATTGCAGCCACCAGGGAAGCTGCCATATAGTAGTTAAGAGGTTAATAGTGATTATGTGATTAAGTAACATAAAGGATGTGGATTGGGTGCCAGATTGAGCAAATTAAAACAGCACCAAGTTAGCCTCAGAGTCATGCAGTGTCACTTCTGCCACATGCTGTTGCTTACAGGAGAATGCCAGCTTACATGCTGGCAGAGCCAGCCCTGGTTCCAGGGGAGAGGGACTGGGTGGGGAAGTGGCAAGAACACTGCTGAGGTTCACATGAACTGTTGAGGCTATCTTGGATTGGCCACAGTGTCAAGAGCACATGTCATCAATTTAGCATTCTCGTGAGAGTTTGGGGAGAGATCTGGTCTATATGTGTAATTTGCATGTCATTATCCCATAGACATCATTGCAATCCTTGAGGTTGGTTGAGAT